TCCGCTTGTCCCGAGCCAGCAGCTTGTCGCAACGAGATAATCAGTGGAGCGTACCAGGCCCATGATACACCACAATCCGCCGCAACCTGCCGAAGGGAATGTTCGATATTTCTTGGGGCCCATCGTATGGAAAACGTCTGGAACATGTCCTCTGTCAGTATACTACATACAATGTACGTATGCGATAGTCCTGCTCTGACGGAGCGACAAGACCTCCAGGTTTTCAAGACTGGGATGCCATCTTGCCACTGCATACACCCGTTCCTGCGTCTTTACGTCTGCCACCCCAACACTAGCGTGCCAAGTGCCAGGAAATGCGATCAATTACTCTGTACAGAGCAGCACATACCACTAGGTATCACCTCATATCGGCATCAATACTCGTGTCGACCTTGGTTCTTTTCCAGGGAAATGATGTTTGTCAAACCCCCGCCACCGAACATCCTTTTTCGTCGACCTTCCCCTCCCCCTCCCCCTCCCCCTCCCCCTCCTCGCATTCCATGGGCCTTTCGTTTTGATTAGCAACTACATAGTAGACAGGGACCATCATCCTGGGAAGGGGGCGAGAGCTGACGATCGACATACGCCATGAGGAATGTTGGGCGCCGCGCCGTCGGGGCAATCTGAGAGCCACTTTCCGCGAGTTTGTGCCGTCAGACGACGACGCCAGGACGACCAGGCTCTTGGACGTGGATCCACCATGTGCATACAGGTAAATATGGATGCACAAATTGTTCATTGACTTAAATGATATATGTTTTTAAGCATCATGCTGCCAATATGCATCCCTCGGTAACCGGTATCTCAGATTGTGTAAACACAAATCCCATCTATCGCAGGAATGTTTGGAGCTTGACGGTCCGTTGGCTGGGTTCATCGAGGGCAGAAAGACTCTACATATTTAGTGAAGAGTCCGAGCCTGCATAAGCGGCTGGGTGGGCTCAATGTTTCTCGTCATTTGACTGGCTCCCAATCGTCAAGGCTAGTACGGCTATGCGTCTTTTCGGTTTCCGGCATGCTCCTATAACCCTTAACTCTTCACAGCTGTGTTTCTCAGAACGATCATATCCAGTTTCATGAGGGCCGCGGGCTTCTCAAGGCCGCGGGCCTGCACATCCCTGTAAACAAACATCAAGGTCTCCCGTTCTACGCGGAAGAAACGTGAAACCCCCGGCAGCCTCAAAATCATACTTTAGCAAGAGACTGCAACATTCTGCGACCCAACCCATTAGTCGAGACGCCAGGGTAGCGAAAGATACAATAGCAAGAAAGTGTGATCAGATCCTGTAAGTTGCTATCTGTGGATGTGTCGAATGCATGTCACGAGGAGCTCGCAGCGGCAACCACCATCTCGTCTTCAGGTGCTCTTTCAGCCACTTGAACTAGGTACTTCATGCGCGTGGCCTAGGTAGCATCTCCAACTTGCACACCGCATGCGGCCCGATGGGTTAGGGCCCCAAGATTCCCGTTCAACGTTGTTTGTCTGCTTATCTCTGCAGGTTTAGTTCGCCTGTACCACGTGGCTGCCGTCACCAGACCTGCCCTTTCGACAATGCAGCATTGCCCATGTCTCCGGAATGCGTCGGTTGAGTCCCCAAAAGCAGCAAGCAAAAGATGTTTGGGGAAAGAGCCCTACAGGTGCAAGCTGGCTGAAGTAAAACTAACGGTTCACACAAAACCAACAAAGAATAAGGTTGGAAAACCTAGAAGCGCGGCCCCAAACAGCACCGGTAGCTGCTACGGAGCCTTATCCGTGTTACCTTGTTGGGAGCGCCGATAGCCGGCCCCACTAATCTGTCCTTCCTTCCCGAAGTTGGTCGTCGTTGAGGAATTTTTTTTTTTCTCTTACCGACGACGTCGCGCTCTTTTTCGTCGTTCCTCTCCGGACTGTATCGCTCCCTCGTCCAGAAAGAAGCCAGAAATCCTCCATCTCACCTGCGTCGAGTCGAAACACGGATTACCAAGTCCTCGAGGTATCGCTTCTGTTTCCCGGCTTTTGTCCTTGCCCCGAAGCGCGCGAAAAACCCCAGCGTGGACCCTGCCCATCCTGCTAAGAAAATACCCCGCCATCGGATACCCCGCCACGACAGAAGCCATCTCGAACGCTGACACCAACACCGACGACGATAACTCGCGCAACGGTTGCCAAGTTCAATACAGGAAGTGCGCATCCCTTACTATCGATAACGGTATCGTCACGAACCAGTTCCGAGAGGCGCATCTAGATCCTGCTCTGCCAGCCTCCATCCACACCAACCTTTTTGTACACCAACGCCCAAAAGAGTCGCAACAATATGTGCGGAATCATCGGTATATGTCTGGGTGACTGGGACCACGAGTATGACTCTTGCGATGCCGCGCAGGAGCTGCACGAGGCCATGTACCTCCTTCAGCACAGGAACGTATAATATATCCTTCGATGAGGAGTATGTTCTAACCTGTCACAGAGGTCAGGATGCTTGTGGTATAGCAACATCATCGTAATTTTGAACCATCTTTGAGGCGAACGTTCAGGTGCTAATCGTAGTAGGAAGCACGGACGCATCTATTCCTGCAAAGACGCCGGCATGGCTTCCAAGGTCTTCAATGATGGAAGGAGAGTCATCGACCTCCCTGGATGGATGGGCATTGGTCACTTGCGTTATCCAACCTGGGGAAGTAGTGGGTAAGTGTCTCTCTGCATGCTGTTGGACCTATAAAGAATGCATACTGACTATTCCCTTCAGGCGTGCTGAAGGTGAGCTTCGAGGCTAATTCACGTTGATTGAGGATAAACTAACGAAAACCAGCCCAGCCATTCTACGTCAACAGCCCGTACGGCGTGTGCTTATCCCACAACGGCAATCTCATTAACGCCGAAGAGCTCCGTGAATTCCTGGACCATGAGGCGCATCGCCACGTTAACACCGGCAGTGACTCCGAGTTGATGCTTTCTGTGTTTGCAAATGAGCTCAACGAGACAGGAAAGGCACGTGTCAATGAGAACGACCTATTCAGCGCCTTGGAGCGAACCTACAAGCGCTGCAGGGGAGCCTGGGCCTCGGTCATCATGCTTGCTGGGTACGGCGTGTGTGGATTCCGCGACCCCAATGGAATCCGACCTCTGGTCTGGGGCTCCCGACCCTCTCACACTCTTGAGGGTGCTGTGGACTACATGCTTGCATCCGAGTCTGTGGCGCTGAAGCAGCTGGGTTTCTCAAACATTACAGACGTTCTTCCAGGACAGGCCGTCTTGTTTAAGCGCGGTTCGCCCCCGGTCTTCAAACAGATTCAGGAGATGGAGTCCTACAGCCCTGATATCTTTGAGTACGGTGAGTTTACAGATGGCCCAGTCTCTGTTGCTCCAAATATTGACAAGCGCAATGCTAGTGTACTTTGCGCGTCCGGATACGACCATCGACGGCATTAGCGTCCATGAGTCTCGTAACCTGCAGGGTGTCAAGTTGGCCGACAACATCATTGCAAGGCTGGGCGAGGAGGCTGTCAAGGACATTGACGTTGTCATTCCTATCCCAGAGACTTCGAACACGGCTGCCGCAGCCCTGGCAGAGCGGCTCAAGAAGCCGTACTCCATGGGCTTTGTCAAGAACCGTTATGTCTTCCGGTCAGTCGATATTGCCCTGTTCGGATTGATTTCGAAAGCATCATTACTAACACCATACCGCTTCAAGCACATTCATCATGCCTACCCAGAGCTCTCGGAAGCAGGGTGTCCGTCGCAAGCTTAGCACAATTGACACCGAATTCAAGGGGAAAACGGTGCTTTTGGTCGACGACAGCATTGTTCGGGTATATTTGCAGTAGCCCAAAACTGCAGACAAGGTTGCTGACAGCTGAGCAGGGCACAACGAGCCGCGAGATTGTCAACATGGCACGGGAGGCTGGCGCCAAGAAGGTCATTTTCAGCAGTTGCAGTCCGGCCGTTTTGAACCCCCACGTTTACGGTATTGATCTTGCGACGCCCAACGAACTCATTGCCCATGGCCGCTCCAACTCCGAGATCGCCAAGCACATCGGCGCCGACGAGGTCATTTACCAGACCCTTGAAGACCTTGCGGCCTCATGTGCCGAGCTCTCTCCTCGCGACCCCAAGACCCAGACTTTTGAGGTTGGCGTTTTCACCGGCTGCTACGTCACTTCTATCCCTGAAGGCTATTTCGAGCGTCTCTACGAGGCCCGCAATGGCAGCAAGAAGCGGAAGGCAGTTGTTGCCAGCAGCGGCCCCACGGCGCAGGGTTCTGCAGACTCTGGCCCGGCTGCCAAGACCATCAAGACGAACGGCTTGGTGGCACGGTCCCGAGCTGAAATACTGTCCCCGCCGGGAACCGGTGCGGATATCGGGTAGGCTCTCCTCTTCAAGATACTGAGCAGGATACCTTGACTGACACATATGACCTACAGCATCCACAACGTGGCAGCTGACCCCGAGAACTAGACAAGACATATATATGATGCTTGCGTGTCCGTTCAGACGAAGAAAGAAAATGAGTGGCATACAGAAAACCAAGTTTAGGTGAGGCGTTGCGGAGAACTGGCATTTAAATCACGTTTTGCATTCATCTCTGAGGCTCTTTTCCCTCATTCCTCAGTTTGGGAGTTGGGTACTTACACTTGGTACCTAGTTGTTTAGAGGTTTGTGGCAATTCGTCCATGGGTTTCGTTTCGAACACCCTGCACATAGCCCGTAGATTAGTTAACAAGAACTGGTCTTTTTATTGTGTCGTTAGATCTGGTGATTGACGTTGGAACAAAATCGATAAACGCATCGACTGGTCCGGGATATGTGAAACGGGTCTGCACAAATGTGGATAAACCGTTTAAGTTCATATGCCGTTGGCGAGCGACACAACCGGCTGGTGCACTCGACTCCCTCCACCGACAACTGGCCCTAGTCTCGTTTTGTGCTTTCCGACGACACTAGCATGCTCTAGGCCCAGGCCCAGGCCTCCCAAGTCGGCGTCAACGGTTCCCATGCACAACAAGGCGCCAGACGGTTGGTACAACCGTGAAACGATCCACCGTCTTCAATAGTGAATGTCTGTATCAAGAGAGATCGGAGCGATGCTCCTCGCATTCCCACCCTTGGCTTGGTCACAAGCCGGACAAACCCTCGCACGGCCCCCACCTGCCAGCCCGCCGCGACTCATACCTATCCCAATTACTACCACCTGGTCGGTTCCAGGGGCCCTTGGAGCGAGAAAAAAAGAAGAAAAAAAAAAACCTCTCCCCGTGACGGAGTACAAACTCCGTACCTTCACACAGACATACAAGAGAGGACCGGGGGCCCGGTCTAGTTTGGCCAAACACCATGGTCCCGCGGTGGGCGACGCCAACCGGCACATCCGCGGTTCGACGCGGCGGGCCCATTTGGAATGACAGCCAGTGGAGTCTGCCTGGTTCCTGGGTCAGGATTCTCGTTTTGAGGATTCAATCTTCCTTCCACCCCCTCCCAGCCACCCACTCTTAATGGACTGTCTCGTCAGATGAGAGGAAACCTAGACGAGGAACAATCTCGCGGGAGGGGGCAACTGGTGGGCGTCCGGATAGTTCCCCCGTCACGGCAACATCGTCGCTTCATCGCTCCACCATCGCGCCCCCCTCTGCTCCACGGCGCTCGCCATTCAGGGGCGGGCGATCCCTCTTTACTTGGACAGCCAAGACCAATAAACCGGCAGGTAACGAATGTAACGGCCGTCTTCCCCTCCTTCGAACAATGGGGAGTTGCGTGTCTCTAACATGCCATGTCTGGCAACTTTGTCGTGTCGCCGGGATCATGTTAGTGGGTTTGCACACGGCTTCATGCTTTTTTCCCTCGAGGTCGGATCCTTGGTGGCATAGACCAGGCCAAGAGCCCAACCGCGCCGTACACCGGTCTCTTGGCGCACACACCACCCCTACTATGGCATATTTCTCGCCGTCGGGCTTGTGCTTTTCCCGCGGAACCCCGCCAAACGGGCAATGACTATGCTGGTAAATTGCCCATGCCAAGTCACGGCCGGGCCGGCTCACCAGCATGAATCTGTGAAGCTTAGGGCCCGGGGTTCCGGTCTCACCGCAAAATGGGTTCAGGGACTATTCCGGTCGGGAACCGTAGGGCCAGGAGGATCGAGGGGCCATTGTCGGCTGGGTCGGCTAGGAGCCCTACTAGAACAACGTTGCATGGCTGCATGCTATGTCGAGCATTGAGCATAAAAACAGAGATGATGAGCGGTTGTTGTGAGGCCCCGTTCCGCCCTACTGTCTCTCGACCGCGGGGCTTCACACCGCTGGCTGGGTGTTCAAGATGAAGCTAGGCTTGTCTCTCGTTCTCGACAGTTGGGGGTTGCTAATCTTGAGCCTCGCCGTTACAAGGGTGTGGTTCTCTCCCCCCCTCTTCTCAGTTCTCACACGGGCACTGGACTGGGCTGTTAGGCCCCCCCTTCGTGGTCGTGGATTGTTGTGGTCTCGTTTCTAGTTGACAACCCCTATTTCCTTCCCACGCATAGGGGACGTGCAAATTGTCTCGTGGGAGCGGCACAATCTCGAACTGGCATTCGAGGCCCGCTCGCCTGCACATCTGTGTGTTCCAGAATGGAGATTGGCGGTGATCCACGTCGATTCTATTCCTAGCCTCGTCCTCATGATTGCGTGAATTTATTCACCCGAACTACGCGTACCGAGTTTTATGACAGCAATATAGAAATGGACCTACTACGGCTAAGGGTTCAATGAGGGGGGGATCATCTATTGGAAGCAGCGCATACGGTGCAGCAGCCTCCGCGTCGAAAGCCTCTAGCTCGAACACGGGAAAAGAAGGTAAGACATTACGCAATCTCGGGAAAGAGTGGTTGTTTTTTTTTTTTTGAGGGGGGGGGGGGTGCTCAACTGAACAGATTGTGGCCCTATGTGCGGTGAACATCGACATCTCCCAGCCACAAGCTTATACCTCTGCGGATCCCTGGCTTGACTCGGGGCGGAGATCGTGATGTCGTGCCGCTGCCGCTGCGCGTGTGTGGGCTAGATTTCTAACACGGTCTCTGCAGACGGCATCGCGTTTCCGTATGCCGCGGAGTCGGCAGAGGCGTCCTTTCTCCTCCTCTTTCCCTTTCCGAGGCCCCAAGGAACGAGAACGCTCCTTCGTGCTTCTGGTATTTCTGAACCACCCCCTAGCCCAAACATCCGGATCCTGTAGGAGAGGCTGGTATGCGACATGGGGGCCCGGCTGCCCGTCTGGCACTCCGGTTAATCGCTGTCCCACAAAGCTGGAACCTGCCGATCGGCCGGGCAGACGGTTTCTTTTCCTGTCCAGGACGTCCGAAGCACGACTCAGTTTCCGCCGGGGCAACGATGTCGACGGACTGAGCAGCGGTTCGGCCGATCCCCCAAATTGCCGTTTGGCGAATTCCATTGGTCACGCGTGGAGATTGGTGGTCTCGTGAAAGGCCTCGCCTCGGCTCGAAGTCATCGTCGAAAACACGAGCTGCGGGCTGCTGCAGCCCCCCGTTGCCCTCCCTGTTCAAAGCCTACATTAGCGCCTTCCCCCCTGCTGCCTGCTGGGGCATTGAGGTTTCCATGCCGCTTCTGGAAGCTATGGAATTTTTCTTCAGGGCGACGGGCCCACCCTTGTTGGACAAAGAGCCGAGGAGCGCGGTGGGCACTCCGGATGCAGAACAGAGCATCCACTGGGCGTCGACTGGACAACGATCATGCCGCCACTTTCCCTCGCGTAATACATACGGCATGCATAAGCACGACTTGTTCGGGCCAAAGTATGCACGCCAATGCGACTGGGCACCGATGCTTCGCAAAGTCGGCCCATTTGGCCCCGGATAGCGCCCGACTACGTCCGGATTTCCGGGTGTCCGGGTGTCCGGGTACCCACCAGGCGCTGTGGCCTGGTCGAAAGCATCGGTAGACAGCCCTCGAAAAGCCAAGACTACTGACCTTGTATAGGCAGCCAGCGTTGTGAACTCCCATGGTCAGGCAGATGTTCGCCGAATGTGTGTTTCTAGAATCCTTGGGAATCTGTACGGGCACCGCAGCGCCGAGTTTGGCATGTAGTTTCGAATACCACGGTCCTCGGTTTTAGAAATACGCTTTTCAATCGCACATTGCAGATAAACGTTTGACGATGTGGTCCGCGGAAACTATACCGTACGAAGTTTTTACAATATGATATGATTGTGAAGATAGCTCTAGACATTTTCTAGTGTTTCTTTTTACAAGCTGCGGGATGAGAACCCGCACCCAAACAAAGGCTAAAATAAAAGCCTTGAAATGGATATCTTTCTCAGCAGAGAGAGACTCTGATCTTGTCGATAATCGCACCTCAGGAATGCCCTGGCTGGGCTTCGCTTGCATCTGTACGCAGAGGATGGCAGCACGCTCTGAAGAAGGTCAATTTCTACAAGCTGAAGCTGGAAGTGTCTTGTCTCGACGACTTCGACTCACTTGTTTCGCCACGAACGAGAGATATTATCCACCATATCTGTCTCAACATCGAATTACCATGCTGCTCGTATAAGTGTTGCTCAGAAGAAAGATCACCACCAGAAAAGATCGACTTCATCATCAGGGATGGGATATGGAGACTTTTTAGATTCTCAGTACTTGGAAACCAGCGGCTCACTTGGCGTTGCTGATCAATGCATACTCTCTGAGCCACTGCGAACCCTGGTCCAAGAACTTCTTAGCCACTGACGATGTTGAGCATGATAGAAACGCAACACCGGATGCGTGGAGGGCAATGAATCCGCATCATGACTTGCAGCATGCCTGGATGCGTGGCAAATAAGTTGAAACTTATCCATGGTGGGCTAGACTACGGCTCTTCGGACATATCTACCCAGTGTCTCGCGGAACGTTGCCCCGAGTTGGAGCAGTCACTTCCCTCATTATATGTCAAGACCATCGGTGTCGCATTTGTCCAGAGCTTCTCGGTACATTCATTAGCAGACTCGAGGGCCTAGAGCATATCTCTTATGAGCCGTGGGCGCCATATAGAGCTGGGCGGAGAGAAGTTTATATCATAGATGCGCACTAACGCCTGTGGCAGGAAACATAAACCTTGTCCTTTTGTCATGGTTAATTCGTGCTGACCGTTCAGCGCTGACTTTAAGAATATATCATGGATTAATATTCCTGAATGATCTTCCAAATAATCTTAAGAGACTAATAGTATTTGAAGACGCCTACAAATTTTACGAGCTATTTCCAAAGCGGCTACCTCCTGAACACTGGTCCAGCATAGTTCATCCTTCCAAGGGCTTGGTACAGTTCCTGCATATAAAAATCTCAATCTGCAGCACTTTGCCATCTCCTTCATGGTCGACGTAGAGGAAGTCTTTCGATACTGCCATTCGAGGTGGACATGGTCGCACCTACAATCTTTAGCGCTCATATCGCAGCTCCTACAGAACGACCAAAAGAACAGCAAGCAGATCCAGGCCTTGCTGTGCTGGCCCAGTGTACTTGTACAGAATACGCCCACGTTGTACACATTTGTGCTTTAGAATGATTCAAAGGCACATGCCTGTCCGTTTATGTATCGCATTGGCAGAGACGATGCCTCGGCCATTTGGCGTGGGACGTGGCGTCTAAAATTCGGTCCTCGCGTGGTCAAGTCATGGCAACTTGCTGCATCGAAGCTACGTTACCAAAACGTTCAAATATGGCAAGAGTATGTTCAAGGGGACATAGGGTCGCATGGGGATGCAATACATCATTAGGATTTGCCCTGTCAAGTTGAAGGTCCCACGCCACTTTGGTAGACTGGGAGAGAAACATGGAGCTAGGAGGAGTAATATATGACACTGCGACCTTTCGCTCACTCCCCATCGTGTGTGACCCATTGCTCAGTCGTTGTTCTATCATCGTGTATACGGGTACCCGTTATTATAGGCAGTGTCTAGGTAATTTTTTTATATACCTGCCTAGGTAGCTAGTTACTACCACGACCTACTGTTCCAGAGTAGTTGCTTCTTAGGCCTCGTGTATTTACCTGTGTATTTAGACAAACATTCAACGGGGGAGGCAACAGAGACAACGGGACTTTTCGAAACCTTTCTCCATGTGCTCCTCCTCTTGTTATTGTGCATGTGCGAGGCAGGTGAGACATCGGTTCGGTCGCTCCTTCCTACTCACTCCTTTCCTTCCGACGCTTCTTCTTACTCACCGCTTTCCATCACATTTGCGCCATTCTTATAAATCTCCTCTCACACCAGTCTGAGAACTTTGCCTACACAACAACCCATATCATCCACGCAACCCACGAGAATGTCGACCATGACCTCTAACGGCCAGAAACTGCCTGATCAGTAAGTGTTCAAGGGCCTGCTCACTGAAGACTCCAGAACTGACCAGCAGGTTTCGTTGCAAGACCGGTGGCGAATGGAAGCCTTGGTCCAGCTTCTCAGCGAAGCAGCAGAAGCTTGTCCAAAACAAGCTGAACCGCCGCGTCCGCATCGATGCTGCCAATACGGGCATGATTTGCCGCATTCACTCAGGCGAACCTGTAAAGGAGCTACAATGCGAGGGCCCATGCAACCGAATTCGGGCTCTCGACCAGTTTTCCAAAAACAACAGGTCCAATGGCGTCAATGTAGGTGTACAATCCGACCTCATGATTTAAATAGGTTTCTCACGCACACTGGGACCAGATCTGCAAGGCCTGCCAGCACTGGGTCAATACTCAGGAGCCGGGTTATGCCCCTTGGGGTGGCCCGAACACCGATCTCGACCCGCTGGAGGAGAACGATGATTTTGAGACTCGCCTTCCTACCGAGCCTTCTGATATCTTTGATCTGCATGATTATCGAGTAATGAGAATAAGCCTTTGAACCAGCCCAGACCTGCTGACATTGATACAGCCCCTTGCACCAATAACTGGCACCGACGGACTTACGAAGTTAGAGGACGATGAGGCGGGCGCCCCCTCCCTCAAGTTCGCAGGTCTCATCATCAATCATGCTAGGAAGAACATCGCCCCGCCTCACTTGGATACGGAAAGTGTAACATCCACTCGACGCGCGAGTGGATCAACCATCTCTGAATCCCCCTCTCAACCCACCCCGGAGGACCTGGGAGAAACCAGTTTGTGGCTCAGCCAGGCAAAGATTGCCCAGCCTCAGCCTCAGACAAGTGGTCGAGTGACTTACAACGCCTGGGATTCCAATGGCCGTCAGTACCAGATGTCCAAGACTCCCACTGTTCAGTCTGGTCGATCCTCGATGATGAGCGGCATGACTCCAGCTTCGAGCAGTCGCGGCCAGAGTTTGGGCAACAGCTGTCGCGAAACCGCCTTGAACAGTCGCCCTCAGAGCATCACGAATATTCGTACTCAGAATAGTACCAACACCAGTAAGCCTGCTACGGGTGGAACTTGGGATACCAAGGTAAGTCGGCAACCATCGATCTCGGAAGAAACGCGGGTTGCTAACCTAAAGGTAGGGACGGTCCTCCGATAGAAAGTATCTTACCGAGAAGGAGCATCGCGAGCTGCAGCGCAACATGCCGCAGCGACAGGTGAATGCTCCTTACGGCATTGGTGAAGACGACAGCGACGATGACGAGTAGTATAGCACTTGGGCCGCCGAGGCTCTGTGACGGCATTGCTAGAAGCATTAGCACCTCAAGCCGCGATCTTTTCTCTTATCATGTCTCTTGATCGCTCTTCATAACTTTCCTTTGTATCGAAAAAGACTTCCGCGCGAACAGGGACATCTTATTCGGACGGCACGTCCATTTATGCTCTTTTGATAACACACACAGAGTCCTGAGGTACTAGGAAAATCAAGGCCGGGTAGGGAATCAGCTTTGCTCTAGGAGATAGCGGCCTTATGAACAGGTAGAATGCATCGACCAGATCACGAAAGCGGCATAACCAGGTTCGCATGCAGTGATGTATTCCGATGGGTTAACGAGAGAAATATGCGGCATAATATACCCTAAAGACGCCCACCCTATCCGGTCTCTCGATGTTGACGCGGCTTGTCCCGTAATAGTGTGTGTAATCCCGAGACCCTACCCAGCCGGAGCGATTCTTTTTTTGAACTTGGCCCCCAAACCTTACCCAAAAACGACGTGTATGTGTGTTTCGTGCGTGTCATCCCCCGTCACAGTGACGGCCGCCGATATGCCCATGAGCACGAGCAGATGTTATAAAAAAAAAGTATAGAAAAAAGCGCCAGCATGATGCTGGTTTACGATGGTTTTGGCTGTGTTCTGACCGGCCTCGGCCGCATGTAGCCCTTCCCCTTCTCAGCCTTCCTTGGACTACAAGAGGTCCAGAAACAGAAGACTGGGCCAGAATGGCTCCAGGAACGGGTTCAGTTTGAGGGGGCTACGTGGCCTCCGTAGTCTGCCAGGCATTTCACAGCGCGATCAATAGTTTCTTCTTTCCAAGACATGCCCATCTTACAAGTCGCTGTCACGCTTGTAATATCCTGGATTGGGGTCGTTGCCCCGGTTCATCATGTCCTGGGCGTCTCCCACCTGCCGGCGCTCCGTAATCTCGCGATCCTTGAGCCTCTTATGCAGTGTATACCTCAACCCTAGCGTCAATCCTCGAGCATTCTTGTCCCTCATGACTGCTGGTCCCTATTGGAGGGGTTCTGATGAGCTGGACAGACGGTTGAGATGAAGGTAAACATCCGTTCCGTATCTGGTGATAAAGTCAGCGTTTCTGTGTGTGCACCGGATCCATTGATCCAAGGTGGCGCGGCGCGCGGAACTCACCCCTCCATGCTGATGAGCTTCAGGTCGCCGCCAAAGTATCGCGCGTACAGCCGCGAGATGGGCAGCCCATACCCGAAACCGGCCATGGGCGCCTTGAAATCGCTCTTATCAAAGTCTGGATCCAGGTTCGGTGTCCGGTCTACGGTGGTGTACATATATGTCCAAACAAGGGGAATTGAGCTTCTGGGGATGCCGCCGCCTTCATCCGAAATCTTGATGGTGATGTCTTCCTTGCCTTCAGCGACAATGACCTTGGTCACGGGGAACTCCTGCTTGTCCTGACCGTGTGTTTCGACAACGGCGCGAAGGGAGTTCTTGAGAGTCTCGAACAGCATGTGCGACAGATGCCCAGGAACGTACATGAAGTTGATGTTGGGGTTGCAAACAAGCTGGATCTTGGGCGCCTCAAAAAGCCCGTAGTGGTCCTCGCATACAAAGCGTGCGTTCTCAATGGCCTCCTGAGCGAGGTCCTGGACGTTGGTCTTGGTACAGATGATGCCGACGTAAGACGGATCACGGTGGTGGCTTTGATCGGTCAGTGCAATGTGTTGACCGATGAGCATGCGGATTCCTATTCGCGACATGTAAAACCGGTCGAGGAACGACTGAATATTGTGGTCGATTTGCATGCGCTGCCTCTTGCGCTTGTACTCCAAGATACCCTGCGCCATGGTGGTGACGACTCCGTCGTGGCGCCTCTTGATGCCGTGCAGCGCCTTTGCGAAACGTTCATTGTACAGTCGGAGCTCGGCCGGCCAATCGCCCGTGTCATCTACCATGGCGAAGTACCTCCTTGCAGCAACGTTCTTCTGTTTGCTCCAGCCATTTCCGTTGGACTGAGGGAGGGATGCATATTGGCCGTCTTCGATACTCGGATTTCGCGTCGCCTCGGAGAGCATAGAGCCTTTGCCATGTGACTTGGCCGGCTTCATCAGTCTTTCTCTGGTAGTCTTGTCTAGATCAGGTCGCGGGAGTTGTGTGAGTTCCTGCGCGGGAGGGAAACGTCAGCGAGTCATATCCGTTGTCCGTTGTGCAATATGCGATGGCAATGCCGTGACGTACCTCGAACGACTGTGCGTACCAATCCTGCACGCGCTTCACAGAGGGCATATCGTTGAGGCCATCGGGAAGCTCATCGAGTTCTTGTACACGATGGGCCAGGCGAATTGGTAGTTCCTCGGCAAGGAATTGCGAGGCACGAAAGAGAGTTCCTGGGAGCACGGAGTCGGAGTCAGCATCGAGACTGGGAAACTCGAGAGGGACCTGCGCCGATTGGCGCCTCACAAGGCCAAATGCCAAGCAGACAAGAGCGTGGGAGGACAGAAGAGAGGGCAAGGAGGCTGTAAAGACAGGTCGCCGGCCGGACGTGGAGAGCTAGGGAGGGAAGACGAACCGACAGAAGGCTTCTCTCCAAACTGCACCATTTGCCTCAAGCTCACGCCAGTTGCCGGGAAACTGGCGTAATGCCTGATGGTGTCCATCAACCTGTCTGTTTTCTTCCACGACATGATGGGCGACTGGAGATCGAGTTTCGACTATTTGGTGAAGTATGCGAATCGAACAAACAACCCCGCGTGACCGAGTTGGGAACAGCCTTTACCGAGGCTGTATGACGCAGGGCAACATGGAACTGGACATGAGCGGGCGGAGCAGCAAAGGGAGAGGCGTGATGAAAGTGAGAGGTGAGGATAAAGAACAAAAGCCAGATCTAGTGCTGCATGGTCAATGGAAGGCAGGATGAAGGTCGCATGCAGTCTTGGAGGATAATGTTTCGAGTAGGTATATTTCTGGCAATGATGGAGAAGACAAGAGCTTGGGTTTGCCGGGGACGACAGGAACAAGGCCGGGCCAGGCTCCTCAGTGGGGAGTTCCTGGTGCTCTGGGCGGGCCACAACCGGCAATGGCACACTGGTACCTTACTCAACTCGGCGTCATAGGGCATATCGTTCGATGATAGCGCGACAAGTACCCCCCCTCTGAGGCGCTACTAGCCGGCTGTAGAGGTGCGCTCCCCGAAAGTTTCCCGCCGGTACTGGCCGTGAAGCACAGCCCGCGAACATTTATCCCGAGGTGCGAGTCTCTACAATCATGCCAGATGCATACATCGTACTTGATGATCCGAGAATCCGGCCGAGAATCCGGTGGGTCGGGATCGTTCTGACGTGTGCTATTTTCGTTTTACAGACAGGGTGAACGGGTGAAACCACCAGGAGATGCTTGGCAACCAGCCATTCTATGTATGGTGCAATCGAATAACAACTGTAACAACTGGCAGGTATTTCGACCACGGAGGAGCTTGTGAAACCTCACATGAGAGAACAGAGTAGGACAGGAGGCGAACGCTAACAAGGGGATCCAACAATGTCTTCGGTCAATACCGTATACATGGACACGATGACATGCGGGCATGTGATGGTGAGATGGACGGCGGAAAGGAACGGGACTTTGCTGTCGATGGATACCTCGCTCACTAACATTTTTCTTCTTCACCGTACCGTACTTCCCTACAGCGGCATGCGACGACGGCCAACCGCGGCGGAGAGGGGCTCTCTCCTTCAGCATTGTTTCCTTCCTGGTTGCCGAGAGTCAGAGCCAGCAGCGCCGTGACCCGTGCCGCCTTCTTCCCCCACATTGCAACACACCACACTGTAGCCCAGCCGCTCAGGCCGCCCCTCCCCTCCCGCCCCATACTTGTCCCGGCTCCGGCTCCACCTCACGACGCTCACTGCAGTCAGTCCCTTTCTTGTGTGTGAGCTCGCTCGCAACCAGACCAGCCACAGCTTGCTTCGCGAGTTCCAGCTTAACCCCTGTGGTCACATGCAAGGCGCCATATTTCTTCATGCGCGCCCCACCCACCCGTCCTCGCTCGCCTAGGTAGCCTTCACCAGCCTCCTCCTTTACCCGTCTCACCGCGCGTCAAGAACGCGCCAAAGACAAGACTCGACGCATTGCCAATTGGGTGGACTTCTTTCGACCATACAGCGCCGAGATTCCTGCAGCTGAAGCCCAAAAAATTCCTGGCAACCATTCAATCGGATCGTCCTCGGAAATACCACCTCCCACTAGCTTCCTGCGCTGCAGTGTACGGAGTACTTTGTACCGATTACTTTCGTCTCGTACCGACCGCACCTCGCTCGCCTTTGCGTCGCGTCTCCCTATCCTCCCGTCACTTAAGGTCGAAAAAAAAGGAACGGGAGACGCCAACGACCCGGTTTTCCTCCCTTCTGGTTGGCCGGCCGCCGCCCCAAATATTACCTTCATACCTCTTTCGATGACCAGCAATGTCGGACGCCAGGTCGGATTCGGGGCTGGGCCTACGTTTTCTCGATCTGAACGACCATGAAGACGACGACAGCCCGTGCAAAGGCTTACGCCGCACGAGGAGTCATTCTAACAAGCCGATTTCCGTGCCGCAGTGCGCCTCTTCACCGCGAATTTCAACGCCCCGACTACCTTCGTCCATGAGCTATCGGGGTTTCTCACCTCTGTCACCGCCTCCCCGCCAACATTTTTCTACGCCTGGTCAGCAGTTCTCAACGCCCGTGGCTAAGAGCCCTTTGGCCCGGTCCTGGACCGAGGATGACCTTACCGCATCGGCTCATTCGAACGATAACACGAATGAGAACACCCGAGACACCCTTGGCCTTATCCAACGACTAAACGACTTGACTCACAAGTTGCTTGCGGGCGAAGATGTCCCTGACTCCAATGTTAGCGCCATGCACGGCAAGCTTGATGAGATAGAGTCAGTTCTAGCAGGAGAACCGCCTCAAGCCACCCCCAAGGCAAGCCAAAAACGTGGTCCATGGACGCTCAGAGTGTCGAACACGAATCCTTGTGGACCTCGCCTTCGCCCTCATGGTTTCGATCTGGCCTGTCGGAAATCTCACCGTCGTTCCGGAGCTCATTCCGACGAGATACGCCCTCTCCCGAACCCACCGTCGAGAAAAAGCCTGCCGTCGATTCTTTCCGCATCGCATCTGAGGCAGCAAAGCTCAACTCAGAACTGGAAACCCTCGTCACGAATCTCAAGGCCCGGCAGGAGGAATCAGAAGTGAGACATGATAGTGACTTGCTCGAGAGGCATGGACTGATGAGTTGGCAGCACATACACCAGCTTCTCGTGACACGCGCCGAACGCGCAGCACAACGAATCATTTTCCTCCAAGGACGAGTGCGAGATCTGTATGTCTTCTCAACTCACTTACAAGGCAGCCCTACCCGAGCCCCTTGACACTAACTCATCGCAGGGAGGATGAACTCCAGGAAAATGACTCCGAACTCACCTACCTCCGTCTTGGCCTCAAGGCCATAGAAGTGCAGTGCCCAAATAACGCTGATCCCGACCTCGCACAGAGCATCCAGAACTGGAAGGCCGATTGGTCCGACCTCAAACGGAAACGCTCCAAGCACAAGAGCTTCGACCGCTCCGCTTACAACACCCCCGTGGGCACGCCGTTGCGACGGTGACCCTATTTCGACCTTGTTTTTACACCTTGTCTTTTATGCGTGATGACTCTAGAGATATGAACGAGTGATGAAGCCACAAAAGTTATCGAGTACCTTACGGTTACGGCTGAAGCATAGCAACGGTGTTTGGGGAACACAGCAGGATACCCAGTCTGCAAAATCTCGCATTTCGTCTTAGGTTCCTTCTTACAGCATAGCGGATACCACGAGAGTCATGAATACAGTTTCTTGTTCTGCTTTCTGGGTATTGGTGCATCAGCGGTAGATGTGCGGTATTGTTTTGACTGCCGGCTCCATTATGGTGTCCCCGTACCTTATACAACCCGGTATTGGTTCGATACTTTTTCATGATCGGAGTCAAGGGAAGAATTGTCGACTGACTTCAGAATCAAGTGTTCAAGGTTATCGGGCGAGAATGGCCCGTTGTCAGATGACCGGCCTACAAGAATACCCGCTGGGTCGTACGAGAATCAAAACTCGAAAAACCCCCTTCCAGCACTGACCCTGGAACCCACAGAAACCATTCAGTCTACCTTGGCAACTGCTGATACATTATCTTTGCGACGCGCGATTGTGCGGCGGCACTTCGGTATTTTCCACTTGGGACCGAGCGAAAGAGAGCAGGCCGATGTGGGTCGACTTTGTTTGCCTCAACCAGGGTCATACCCGGGAGAAAGCACATCAACCTACCACCTTGGGACGGACTCTTTCCAGGTGCAACCTGGCCGTCCTATCACTTGGTGACGATGCTCATGCTGTGAGCACTGAGTAGATCTACCGTCCCGGACGGCCGCTTTCCGAGCTGCATTTCGTCCGAGCCCAAATCGAACTGGTCTCGTCGACACGGGAACTGAACAGACAAGAACTTTCGAGCCTACTGGAGCGGAGAAGCTTCTAACGTGAAGACTCTTCTACACGAAGAAGAAGATGGGCTTGCCGGATACGTTTCTGGACAACACCTTTGGAGCCTTTGGATCAACACAACACTTGTTATCGAAAAGAAGCAAATGACTAAGATGACTGCGTGGTTGGTCAGGATATCTAGCCGCAGATGGAGAACAGCGCAAGCATGCCCGAATGCACTCGGTTAGGCCGACTCTGGTAGTTGGTCGTCGAGGAGTCTCAGAGTCGAGCGAGTCTGTCTGTGGCTGTCTGATAGGTCGTCCTGGCTTCTTGGATGCAGGACGTAGCGTAACAACGGGTCAGGCAGTTTGAGGCAGTTTTCAATGGTTCCTCCGCACCATCAGACTGTGACCCTGATACAAGCGGCACACTGCATGACGTAATAGGCAAAAACTTTCAGTTGAAGGTTGTTGTCCTAATGGTGCGGTTGCGCTTGGGTTAAGAGCCAAGGAAGCCTCCTTTAGGTCTTTAGGTACGTCCCGCATCTTGACGAAGGCAACTGGCTCTCTCCCACCACCATATATGGGCCCCAGGCCCCCGCAACAGCAGCAAGAATGTATGGGAACTGTAGGTCAACGACAAAGTCGCGCTCGTGCTGGAATATACAGAAGGTTTGCTCGGGTTGTGCACAACAATGACGTCGCGATATTTCCTACGCCTCGTCTTCGCCGCCACCGGCGCACTCGCCATGGAATCAGACGGACACGCGGGACACGGGCTTGTCGGATACGGCATCAAGATGTGCGACCCGCCGTGCGCGTTTGCCTGCCGCGAGGCCATTGCCGGAGCGACGCTCCGCTGTTCCACCGTCGGCTCCGACAACATGGGCGGCATGGCAGGGATGAGCGGCATGGTCGTGACAGACGGCGAGTGCTTCGCCGCCGACGACGCCTTCTTAGGAACCCTTGCCTGGTGCGTGACTGCCAGGTGCGAGGGAATTCCGGAATGGAAGCTTGAGAAGTACTGGAAAGACAACGTCGCCGGGAACGCCGCCGTCCAGCCAGAGCCGAAGGTGACGTTTCAACAGGCGCTGGCCATGGTCAACAGCACTCCCACCGCGGTATATGCGGCCAGTGTTGGGCGCTGAATCAGACGAGCCTGGCCCTCAAGGTCTCTGGTATGCAGCTTACAATACCGATGTTATATTCGAGGGCCAGGAGAGTCTGCCAGTGAAGCATGGGTACATTGGAACCGCTGCCCCCTCAACCTGCCGGCATAAAATGACCAGTCAAAGTCTTGTCATTCTCCTTTCCGGGATTATGCTTCCGATCGCCTTCTCGCTCCTGCGGTTCGTGCCATTGCCGGCGACGTGGTGCTCCATGTTCAGCGCCTGGGTGATCGACCCTCTGCTCTTTGGCAGTCACCACGACACGCCAGTCTTTTTCGGGCTTGCGGTGATGCCTAAACGCGGACAGGCTCTGTTCATCCTCTACTTCGTCATGATCAACACTGTGCTTTCCGCCGTCAACTACGCATACGCCGACCCAAACACGTGGTTTCCCGGAGACCGGTGGCGCTGGATGTGCATGCTGGTCTCCAACTGTCTCGGACTGCTCAGCTTCGCCAACCTACCGCTGGTTTTTTTGTACGCCGGGCGGAATAATCTTTTGCTCTGGGTCACTGATTGGTGGCATTCGACTTTCCTTCTGCTTCATCGATGGATCGCCATGATAGCGACTTTGCAAGCCATTCTGCACAGCATTGTTTACTTGGACGTCTATGTTGAGAATGGCACGCACTCGTCCGAGTCTAGGGAGCCGTACTGGTACTGGGGTGTGATCGCCACCGTCGGCCTAGCTGTTATTTTCCCTACGTCAGCCATACTAGTCCACAGAAAGGCTTATGAGATATGCCGCGGAAATCAGCGACGATATGAAGAAAAGCCCCGCAATCGTCACCTCTCTTCCTGAAGGGCGTTATAGCAGCGTTACTCACACATCGAGAGAGCATCTGCAGCTGGGAATCACCTTTTACATACACATGCAGTCCGGTATCACCTCGCTCCTTCGTCACCGTAACTCGGTTCCCGTTCTTCTCGAGGCGGGGTATCCGTCACATTCACTGCTCTCCGAATCACCGCACAGCTCACCCGCCCTCGTTGCACTGGCTGGCGGTGTCGGTAGCACCGCCGTACTACCGCACCTACGCAGCCACCCGGGCCGCGTTAAATTATATTGGAGATGTCGAAGCCGGGCACTCGTCGAAGATGTAGAAAGCGTGGGCGTGCTCTCTGGCATCGAGAACGAGATATTCATCGGCAAGAGGATGGCCGTCAGGGAGGTGCTCGAAAGCGAGCTCGTGGGAGGGCGGGGCGAGGCCTGCGTACTAGTTTCTGGGCCCGAGGGCCTGATTGACGAGGTGAGGTGCGTATTCAATGGGATTGTGAGGGAGGGAAATGGAATCAGGGCAAAATTGGTGGTAGAGTTATTTGGGTGGTAGTCAGCGAGGAGAAACTCATCTGCTAGTGGTCTTTACGTATCGACGCAGACCCAGCGATCTTGGTCACTCCCAAAGGACCAAGCGAAAAGGAATTGGAAAATTGTGAAATGATTTAGGCTTGCCAGGGAGCAGTGATGTCACGACGATGCTCAGCCTGGACGTAGGCGCGGTCCTCGTAGCGAAAAGGTACCGTCCGCGAAGTGCTCGAGGAGAGGAGAGGTGTGATCGTTTCAAACTGCGTAAAGCCTGTGTACTGGCCGTTGTGTTCTAGGCTAACGGGGTCTTGTATCCGACGGGATGTTCAGACTCGTCGAGCCTTTGCGGAGTTCGGAGGTCTGGTTGCTTTGATGTAGGGGACTTCTGCGGGGGCTCATTGACTTTGGTGTTTGACGCCTGGTGCATTCCATGTCAGAGAGGAAACTGTCAAAGACATGCTTGCATTCGTAGCTTCTGGACCAGGTTGCTTCCTTATGGAATGCGTAGCCTTCCTTGACGCGTAACTTGGTGTCTCCCAAACGCCACTCCCGTGCCTGACCTTGAATTGTAAGTTACCAGCTGCCTCGAAATCCAAATTCCGATCCTCCCTCAGGCTCTATGCAATATACATCTCACCCGATGCAACAACCGACTCTAGACGAAGGATTTGATGCCAGTGCAGTCCAAGTGCGTCAAAGTCCACTGCGTTGTGTGGCTCCGTTCGAAACCCCCCTTTCTTTGTCCGTGCATACGTCCGGCAGCACCCGAACTTCCGTCACAAGTCCCGACGCGCTTGGCCACTTGAGCTCAGTATCTCCATCCCGTCTCATCGAAAGGCTGGATCTGCACCCCAAGACCAGATCATAGCATGTCTGGGGCGGAGGTTCTTGCGACCGGGCCAAGACCCGTCCTAACAGGACTGAAGCACCCATCAACGTGCTTGTTGCTGCGTGGCTCATCTGCTTCAAGGTTGCCATCGCCGCACGGCTTCCTGTGTTATTTCTCCCAATGGCGACTATGAAGAATTCATACCCAAGCTGCACGCTTCGGCCCGACCTTGGCTGTTGGGGCTGAGAAAGCCTTTTCAATCGCTTGTGTCGGCACTCCTGCGCTTTGAGTCCGGACAAGCTGGATGGAGCGACTACAAGCTGTTTCCGATCGCGCTATCTTGAATAGTCACGAAGTTGCATCTAATATATCAGGAAAGAAGGGTCCAGGGTCCGCAGCTTTCGTTCCGCTTCTACTCGTCTCATTCTCCCTCAATTCATCTACTCAGAAGCATCATGTGCGGCATCACAGCGGCTATCACGCTTCAGCGAAGCAGCTCCCTTAATGGAGCCAATGGAGGTGCCGATGCGGAAGGGCGTGAAACTCTCCGTCAACAGCTACAGCAGAGTCTGAAATCCATTGCTCATCGCGGCCCGGACGCCTCCGGAGTCTGGGTTAGTGACGATGGCACTATCGGTACGAGCTTCCAACGGAAGAGATTTGTTGCGGTCCTCAACTAATTTCATGATGTAGGATTGGCACACGCCCGATTGGCCATCAACGACCTGTCCGCAGACGGAGTGCAGCCGCTGCATAGCGAGGATGGCAAGATCCATGCTGTGGTGAACGGAGAAATCTACGACCACGACGCTATCAGAGAGCGATTGATCCGGGAATACGACTACAAGTTCAAGGGCCACTGCGACAGCGAGGTTCTCGTCGCTTTGTACAAGATATACGGCGCGCCTGGTTTCTTCGAGCACCTCCGTGGAGAGTTCTCCTTTGTTGTCTACGACGAGAACGATGGCCGGGTCATTGTGGCGAGGGACCGGTTCGGCATCAAGCCCATGTTTGGAACCCTTCAAGGCGAAGGTGTCAGCAAGCGGATGCTTCTCACCTCGGAAATCAAGGGTTTTCGGGCCCTGGGCTGGGAGCCTGAGTGGAACGTCCACGGCCTGCTCACCGGATCGTCAATGCAGGCCCACAACACCGTCTTCAAGGACGTCTGGAAGCTGAACCCCGGCACATGGATGGAAGTTTCTTCAGACGGCGAGGTCGAGCACCACCAGTACTGGGACCCCGACTTCAACGATAAGGTAAGCAAAAACCGGGCGGAGGAGTTTGTCTGACTGTCTGGTGCTTACACATGGTAGCGGGAAGCCGAGACTCGAAGCGTGGACGACATGATTTCGGAAGTAAGGCGGCGTCTGGTGGAAGCAGTGAAGCTTCGTCTTCGCGCCGATGTCCCCGTGGGGATCTACCTGTCTGGCGGTATCGACTCATCCGTCATTGCAGGCATTGTGACGAAACTTGTCCGCGAGGAAGGGATAAAGCTAGGCAACCAAGATGCTACAAACCGTATCCGCTGCTTCACAATTCAGTTCCCGGAAGCCTCGGGCTTCAACGAAGCTGGTAAGTTCTATCCCCGAGACTAGAACCCCACGAGTCTTGGCGAGAATGGAGCTTGCTGACACCCTCTGTAGACATTGCTGAACGCTCAGCCAAATGGCTGGGCGTGCAAATTTTGAAGAAGGACATGGACGAGGCCGCACTGGCGGACAATTTTGCAGATGCGGTCTACCACACGGAGCACCACAACTTCGACCTGAACAGTGTGGGCAAGTTCTGCCTCTCCACGCTGCCGAGGGAGCACGGCGTGCCCGTCGTGCTGACGGGCGAGGGCGCGGATGAGCACTTTGCCGGATACCCGTTCGTGCTGCCGGCTTTCCTCATGGAGGCCGACGGCGCGTGGCCCCAGTCCCCTTTGACCGACGACGTCCGTGGAGAGATGTTCAAGGAGATGTCGCAGGACCTCAAGGAGATGTTTGACAGGATTGGCATGTTCGAGGACGAGGCCTCGTCGGGACCGCATAACAATTCGATGCGCCTGGAGCCGGAATGGAACGCGTTCTCTCCCTGGGTTCGCGAGACGTACAAGGCACCGGGATTTGGCGAGACGGTGATCCCGCCCGAGGTCCTCGGGAAGATGATGACCAAGTGGCACCCGCTCCACACAAGTCTATACCTTTACACCAAGGGAACCCTCGCCAACATGATCCTGACCTGTTTGGGTGACCGCACGGAGATGGCACACAGCATCGAGGCGCGACCGCCGTTCCTGGACCACCACCTGGCCGAGTATGTGAACAACCTACCGCCGAGCGTCAAGGTGGCGTATCTCGACGCCGCCAGCGGGTCGGCTACCGGAACGGGAAGCACGGGAACGGGCGGGAGCCTATGGTGGAAGGATCTGGGTGCGGCGCGCCAGAAGCTCAGCGAGAAGTGGATCCTCAAGGAGGCCGGCAAGCCCTTCATTACGCAGGAGCTCTACGAGCGGAGGAAGCACCCATACTCGGCGCCGCTCAAGTGGCCGCGCGGCGGACCCATCCATAAGATGATGGCGGACCTGGTCTGCAAGGAAAACATCGAGAGCCTGGGCTTCATCGAGTGGGACAGCGCCAAGAGGTGGCTCGAGGAGGGCTTCGGCGAAGACGCGAGCCCGAGGGCGTTCCGGAAGCTCATCTGCACCGCCTCGTGGGTGGTTCTTGGTCAGAGGTTCGGCGTGAAGAAGGCCACCAAAGAGCAGTGTTGTGCGTAATAGGGGCGCCCTAGGCCTGCCGTCGAAAGAAAGAAAAAAACAAACTATGTACGATTGATGATGGCGCTTGGAATGAAAGTAACGACTGCGAATCCCGTCACCAACCTGGGGCGCATGGTACTATCTCGGCGACAGAAAGTGATACGACAAAATGACGCAAGAAGTATAGGATGGCCTGGGCTAGAACCAAATGGAGGTTTGACGGTCGACGAAGAATGAATGTGACCCACTGGTGGACATTGAAAAGCGGCGCCGTTAAACGGGCCCATTAACCTTTTTTAATGGGCACGTTGGCTGTCTCAACCTTAACTTGGCACCTGCTTAACTACCTACCTAGTTTCCCTCCACAACAATTTGGAAGCGAAGCGACATTTGATGTCCTATTTCCTACTTCTTAACAATAATACGACGGCGAAAAAAGAATGGTTCTGTTGCTCGCAGATGATACCCACGGATGCTAAGGCCCGGGATATGATGTCAATGGATCGGTCCTTAGAAAAGGGCCAAGGGATGCGGCACCGTCCCGCTGGGCGATGCCCTTGGAGGTCGCTGTCACAAAAACACAACCCCCCATCAGCATTGCGTTTGTTGTACGTCTTCCTCGGTAGCAGATACACACGCTAAAACAAAAGACATACAACACCAAGGATTCGCTGGTCGTCACCGACCCAACTACTAGTTTGGCCCTCACCGGCTTGTCTATGGGAGAGCGGACGGGATCCCGAATTCTCCGGTGGGTATGGTCGTATGTGGTAGACTTAGCTCCCAAAGAGGCTCATATTGTTGAGCGATGGGGTCTGAGACGCAGAATGGTCTCGTTCCTCGCAGCAGATTGTCACGTCACATGATACACCTTAACCCCGGATGTCGAAATCGAAGATGGGCAGCCAAGGCACACAGGCCTTCGGTTCACTTCCCCCTCATCTCACCGCATCTCACCTCGTCTCATCGCACCTTGCCCAACAGGGACGGGCAAGGAGACCCAGGTATTATTCCCGCGCCAAGTCGGAAAATAGCACGCGACAGGGAGTTGCCTACTTCCCCCAGCAATCATTTGCAGCGGACCCATTTTACTCATGCAAATTCGACGTCATCTTAACAGCCTCGTTCTTTCCTTTCACCACACGTCCAGCGTTGTCTCTCAACTTCACCCGATCGATGCCGATCACCTACCTTTTCCGCTGCAGCAAATGTGCACATGAAGGGCCCTTTGGTTGACGGAAACGGGCGCCCTCCTCTTCGTATCCCGGTTTCTTACACACCACCGGCTTCAACGCTCCTCTGCGTCGCCGCAAAGATGGTCCTCCTCCGACCGCGAACTACGATCGTAACCTCGCATGTCTCACCTGGCTTATCCCCTCAGTCGTTGTGATCGTCGTTGTGATAGATACGGACCGAGATTCGGATCGTCATGACGTCGCTAATCGCTCTTCCGACGCAAACTCGACAGGCGCCAACGGCCACCCCGTCATGCCGCGGCTCCTGTTCGTCCCGTCTTTCTCTGGTCTCCAACAGTCTCCATCGACCATTCCCGTAGTTTCCCTCCCCGCGACCGTATCCACCCCCGCTCTCCATACCCTCCACAAGGACCATCGTTTGAGTTTAGCTTCCCGGTTTCCTGGTGTTCGAGCTCGAGCTCTGTGGAGAAGTCTCCGCTTCTGCTGCCCAGTACACACATAGTAGGGTTGCTCTCGACACCTCATGTCTAGATACTTAAGTAGCCAAGCTGTCCCCAAGCCGGGAGGCTGACTTGGTTACCTTGGAGCACCAGTTCACTCGCCCTTTCCGTCTCCATCCTCTTGCCAATCCTTTGGTCCCTGGCAGTGTTGATTAAGCCACTCATCCACTCCCTGCCGCCAAGTGCTTGTCCACACTTGGCTTCACATCGCCTCCGTACTAGCGTACAAATCACTCATCGACGAGCTTGAGACCCAGTAGTTTTCATCAAGATGGCTTCAGATTCGAAGCGAGAGAAGCTCGGCGATAGGCCACCGTCAGACCAGGTCAAGACCGAGGTCTCTCATATGGACCATCCCGGACGATTCTCTGAAGCCACGGCCATCGATGAAGAAGAGCGAAAGCGATTAGAGGCTTCCCGTAAGCTCGAAAACCCCCTGTTCGGCCTCACCCCCGAGCAGCTGGCCCGGAAAGGAGAGGAGTATTGTCGCGAACATGGCATCGGCGACGAGGAAGATATTCGTGCTTTTCGTCTCGGCGCCATGATTGCTGGGAACATGAACAAATACGACACCATGGCCGAGCTCACTGCCCAAGAACGTGCGGTTCTCGATGGAGAAACCACTCATAAGTGGCGAAACCCAAAGATGCTTTACGGTGTCGTCGCAGGTCAGTTGTCTTGTTGCGATTTCCGCCTTTCAGCTTTCAGGGTCCAACACAATAAAATAAAACAACCAGCAATCCCATCCTGCTCCGTTCATCCATCTACCCCTTTCCCCTTTAGTTGTATGCAAGTAGGCTGATATATATTCAAGTGTGTTCCTTTTGCGCCGTCGTGCAAGGAATGGACGAGACCGTCGTCAACGGTGCCCAGTCTTTCTACAAGGGCCAATTCGGCATCGGAGGGAAGACCGAGAGAGACACCTGGCTACTCGGCCTGACGAACTCGGCGCCCTACCTATGTTGCGCTCTCATTGGTTGCTGGCTCACTGAGCCCATGAACAAAGCCTTTGGTCGCCGTGGCACCGTCTTCATCTCCTGTCTCATCTCTGCTCTCGCCTGCTTCTGGCAAGCATTCACAAACACTTGGTGGCACAGTGAGTCCAATCATCATCCCCTTTGCCTCAGCCGGGTGACTGAATCTAATCACAGTGTTCATCGCTCGCTTTGTGCTTGGCTTTGGCATCGGCCCGAAATCTGCCACAACCCCCATATTCGCCGCTGAATGCGCACCGCCACGTCTGCGCGGAGCCCTCGTGATGCAGTGGCAGATGTGGACAGCTTTCGGCATCATGCTTGGCTACGTTGCTGACCTAGCGTTCTACCACGTACCCGACAGAAGTGGCATTGTCGGCCTCAACTGGAGGCTGATGATGGGTAGTGCGATGATACCTGCTGTGCTCGTCTGCGCATGTTGTTATCTCTGCCCTGAGTCCCCGCGATGGTACCTCACCAAGGATCGTCACTCTGATGCCTTCAAGGCCATGTGCCAGATGCGATTCGAGAAGGTTCAAGCTGCCCGTGATCTCTTCTATGCTAATGCCCTGCTCCAGGCAGAAAAAGAATCTCGGGGTATCGGGAAACAAAACCGGTTTAAAGAATTTTATGCGATTAGACGTAACAGAAACGCGATGATTGCATCGGAAATTGTAATGTTTATGCAACAATTCTGTGGTGTGAACATCATCGTTAAGTGCATATTATCATTTATAACGATATCGAATGCATATTGAGTATAAGTCATTGTAACGGGGATATGTATCGGGTATGGCAGATAGCTTGTCTACAACATACAGTTCAACAGTTTGCTAACGCCTGCCAGCCTATTATAGTTCAGAGATCTTCCTGGCTGCTGAGTTTTCAGAAGTGAGCGCGTTGGCGGCATCCCTTGGTTTTGGTATTATCAATTGGCTCTTCGCCCTCCCAGCCTTTTACACCATCGACACTTTTGGAAGACGCAACCTGCTCTTGACAACGTTCCCCTTGATGGCTATTTGTCTGTTCTTTACCGGTTTCTCGTTCTACATTCCCACAAACCCAGCCAAGATCGCCTGTATAGCCACAGGCATCTACCTCTTCGGCATGGTCTACTCCCCTGGCGAAGGCCCCGTGCCATTTACGTACTCCGCCGAGGCGTACCCGTTATACATCCGTCCCATCGGCATGTCCCTCGCAACCGCCACAACCTGGTTCTTCAACTTCATCCTCGCCGTCACCTGGCCCTCGCTGCAGGAATCCTTCACCCCGACCGGCGCGTTTAGTTGGTACGCCGGCTGGAACATCGTCGGCTTCTTCCTCGTCCTCTTCTTCCTCCCCGAGACAAAGGAGAAGACCCTTGAGGAGTTGGACGCCGTCTTCAGCGTCCCGCTGAGGCGCTTCGCGCGGTACGGTCTCGCGCAATTCGTCTTCTTCTGGAAGAGGTACGTCTTCCGTCAGGACGTGACGCCGCCGGCTGTGCCACTGGCAGGGGACGTCGCGTATCACCGGGAGCAATTCAAGCAGGAGAAGGAGAATAATCCCACTGCTCGTGTTTGAAAAAAGAGACAGGAATACATAACGTCGGGTTTGGGTGAAAGCCGCTCACCCGAGCTCATGGGCGACGGGGAAGAAGGCGAAGATGTGCGACACGAGAACGATACCAGTTGCTTTAGTGTAGTCGATCGACGGGAATAATCAAAGAATACGAACGAAATATAATGCTGCGATAAGACTGTCTAGATTACCGTTGGCTACGATGCAGATGTTGGCTTTTAGGAAGCCAGCGGTGCATAGCTCCTACGAGGTGAGAGTCGAAGTGAGAGGTGAGAAGAAAGGGGGTTGCAGCCTATAGGTAATGCATAGTATGACGGCTTACCCGTAAGACTAACAAGAGTTTGTACTGAGAGCAAGGGGTGAGAGGGCGTGATTCGCAAGCGCTATAACTTCTCTCCTGACCTCGTCGCCACGTCAACGAGATGAACGGTGCGGCCCCGCGTCAACAGACGAGACTATCCCGCCCGAGGACCCTTTGCGGACATGTACCTCCTCCCACGTCGGGCGCCGACCCGAACCCGCGCCGGTACCGCTGCGCCTACCAATACCGGGGGACCGCGGCGACTCGTCCCTCGAATCCGAGCCACGTCCATCGCGATGGCCAGAGTACACCCCGTAGTCGGCGTCGCTGCCCCGCTCATCGTACGCGGAAGGGCGCTGGGACAGCGGCGACGGGGGCGCGACGTGATGTTGCGGGATGGCCGGCAGTGAGGCGCTGTACCGGTTTGCCGGGGCCGGGCTGCGCTGTGTCTGGTGGACGGCCGAGAGCCGTCTAGCCGGTGGGGGTGAGAGGTTGCGGTGTCTAGGCAGCGAAGCGCCCGTGTCCGAGTTGTGGCGGGAGAGCCGTGCGGGGTGTGGTTCGTGTCGATGAGGGCCTTCATCCCCGCGGTCGTACGTCTTGCGGTGAGGCACGGGCGCGGGATGTTTCGGGTCGTCGGCGCCGGTGGACGGCCGTCTAGTGCTGTGTGCGTCTGCCTCAGAGACCCTCGCCGCGCGCGAGGTCGGCGGGAGAGATGGCGCGGCGTCCTCCAGGCAGTCCCACACGGCCTCGTTGAGGATCTTGCGGACCTTGTTGTCGTGGGTCCCCGGGAGGAGGTGCCGAGAGAGCTGGCGGGGCAGCCTCTCGGGCTTGCCTTCTAACAGGGGCCCGTCGGCGTCGACGGGCAGGGCAGACACGATGGCGTGCAGGCGCCTGGCTTCAGATTCGGGGTACGCGAGTATGTTGCTGACCATCCACTTTGCGAAGCCGGCGGGCGTCAGTCCGGGCACACTGGGGTGAGATCTGGGCGCGGCTTGGACGAGGTGGTACGGGCAGCCCAGGTCCTGGTACAGGAATTCGATCCGCTTCAGTGCGTCTTCGGATCGCTCCTTGAAGATGTCTGGTGGAAGGTCAACGCCTGTTCATACGGCCTTCGATCTGCGACACTCGGTTCACCTTCATATGGAAACTTCTCAGGCTCGATTCTGTACCTTGTGTACAGAGCGAGCATCTTGTTGGGGGTGACGACCAGTGTCTCTGGGTATCCAAACTCAGCAATCTGAGAAAACGTCAGCTGTTACGAAAGTCTATCATCGGGGGTCCCAGGTACTACCATCGAGTTCGCTAGACCCCTGAGCACAGAGTTGAGACGTTGCGTTGAATACCCTTCGGAGTCAAACAGCATTCCCCAGGCCTTGTCGACACTGCTTAGCTCGGCCTGCGCCACGGTGGCAGGAGCGGTAGGCGAGACAGATTCCGATCTCGAGCCGGTGCAGGGTTCGTAGTGAATCACCGACGGGCCCCCAGACTGGAAGTGAACAGTCTTAGGTCGGGGGCTGACGGGCGGAGTGGACTGACCTACCGGTACAGGGATAGTTGATGCTGTCTTCGCATGTGTGGTTACTGGACTTCGATCCCGAGGCAAAGACACTTTGGAGGAACTGCGTGCTTCGACGACGCATGGCGACGGAGTGGGGCACGACGGCGTGGAGAACGCTTTCTGGCTCGACACCGGAGAGGGACGTGGCCGGTTGGCGGGCGTGTCGGTCTCGCTGTTCTTCAGCTGGACGACTTGAGCGACTTGGGCAACTTCATCCAGTATTAGTCAACAACTCGCCGATGCAGCAACTAAACCAGAGCAGTGGCTGACCTTCTTCCTTGATCATCTTCTTCAACTCCTTCACCACGCTAGGCGACAAATCGCCAAGACTATTGCGAAGGTTCGAGATGGACGACTCCATGGCCAGACTCTCAGAACCGTGACGCCGCTGCTGTGGCCGCCCATCCTCAAGACCTCCGCGCCCATGGCCCTCCTTTTGACCTTCCCTTCCGGATTTTCCAGCAGAACTCGTTGAGACCCCTTCTTCCGGCCCGGACGAGTAGCCCGCGGCGGCTCTCAGCGAGGCCCAGTCCATGGTGGTGTTCAGTCTTGGCCGCACAGCCTTCTCGGCCGGCTTGGTGGCCATGGCGGGTATTGGAGTATGTCGTCTGCCGCGTGATGTGCACGTCCAAGCTGCCGTAACAGATTGCACGAGACAAACAGTGATGGAGATATAAAACAGCGATTGGGCTGTTAGCGCGAGCGCCTTTGCGTAGTTTATACCGAGTAAAACAGACAAGGGCCGCAGGCTAGGGGGGGCGAGAACGATAACGCAGAAAGTCGACTGCGAAAGATCGTCGACCCATAACTTCTTTCGATCGGCGTCAGGTCAATGGAAGGCGCTTCCCCAATGAGGTGTGGACATCTTCTTCTCTGCGTGAGGCGGGCTGAGGGAGTGGACGGTACAAAGGCGATCACGGAGGCAAATACCCCAGCGGCATTAGTGTTGCGGGAATCTGCATTTTCGAGATGTGAGAAGAGAGGTGAGGACTTTGGTGGTACTCTCCCCTCCCTTCCTCAATAGGAACGAGGCTGCCTATATGCAGCACGCGCGCGACAGGCGGCTAGCACAAAGCAATCAGGGGAGGGGCGGAGAGGCGTGTAGAGCCATACAGAGTTGTCTCTCCAAACGGGGCCGATCCCTGTCCCATTGGGTCGCGAAGCACGTAAACTAGTAGAATGTAGAAGGTATGTGTGTGGTACGGGGGAGGGGGATTATTAGCAGCTGTGTTTGAACGCGCCACGACGACCAACCGGTGAAAACGAACAGGACGGGAGCAATCTGTCGATTTCTCCTCATCGGACCTGTCCAAGATATACCCTCAACTTGACCAACTCAACAGGGAGATACGATGATTCCATCGTGAGAGTTTCGGCTGAGGCCAAACCAAGTTTACCAGCCTGGGACGAAAGCGGAAGGGGGAACAAAGTCACTTCATGTTTCTGGCCCAATGATTTTTGTATTGCAGTTTCTGGTCATGCATATCCCTTCATGTCGCCGCAGACGGTTCTGCCTGAGTCGGTCAGGCACAAGGTCAAGCGGTGAGATAACAGTTGTTTACTGGTCCTGGGTCGTCGATCGGCGCTCAACCATCACCACTGTACATCTCGTTGGCGTGTCGTCGTGCCGCCAAGAAGTCCCGATGAGTCCATGAGCGTCATCTCGAAATGCAAGCTTGGGGCCCTTTGCAGCTGCCGAGGGGGGGCGCCTGAGGGGCGGGATGCTGCATGTGAGTACAGATGATAAAGGGCGATGTCGAGGGCGGCTGCGGTGCCCCGGTGGCTAGGCCGTTACACCCGAAAGTCCCCGGTGGGTGTCCGCGGCAAGGCGCCCACCGAAACTGGGTCCAGGTCGCTTCGGTCGATGGATAGACCCGGGACATCAGACAGTAGCAGGGCTTCTTGCACAGCTCGCGCCTATCGGCTAGCGGTGGTTGGGGCGGGAGTACTGAGACAACCTTCCCGCCTGTTTTGACAAGATTGAGACTGCCAGGCGGCTTGTGAACTTAGCTTCCAAACGAACGCATGTCTTAAACTGGTGGGGGTGTCGTCGCGCCGTCCCGGCCTCGAGCGAAACGCATGTAGAACAATGGCGCGTTAGCCACCAACGACCCGATCAGTCCTTTCCGGTCGGCAGTGCAGAATGGGGTGGTATCGACGAGGTTAAAGGCGCTGAGAAGATATATTCGGTACACTATCAAGGATATGAATTTTGGGCCACATGCTTGTTCCCCGAATCGAGATCGAATGCCCGCCTGCTAATGCACTTACAAAACCACGAATTAGATTCCTCCCTCATGCCTTGTACAGCAGGTCCAAGAACCCGTTGGCCAAGTCAACCACCACACTCTTGTTCGGCAGCGATCCCGCAACGCCGTACAGAGCTGCCGAGTCGCCGACGGCCTTGCCCTTGGCCCCCTTGCCCTCGACGATGCGGACTCTCTCCTTCTCCTTCTCGCTCTCGACAACGGCCTCCAAATCTGCCAACAGCTTCTCATAAACCTTGGTGATCGGGAGAGTGACAGCGACGTGGATGGCAGGTGGGTTTTGAAGGGCGTTCAGATGCCAGCCCTTCTCTGACATGCCGTCGGCAATGTCGTAAACATTGAGGTTCTTTGCCGTGAAAGCAACGACGGAAACAAGCGGCTTGCCCATGATCTCCAGTTCGTTGTCCAAAGCCGGCGTCTCACGGATCCTCTCGGCAATCTTCTTTGTAGTACCGACAATCTTGACACAGGCGTCAATGTAGCCGGCCTCGCCGACTTTCATCAAACTAGCCCAGCAGCCGGCAATGAGAGCGCCCGGGCGCGAGCCAGCCATACCGGGTGAACCGTATACACCGCCAGACCAATCCGGCGACACATAGTATTGATACTTGCGGAGCTCCGCAGATCGGTACAGGACCGTAGAGTTGCCCTTGGGGGCGAATCCGTACTTGTGGGTGTCGCAGCTGATGCTGGTGACGCCCTTGAGACGGAAGTCGAACAGCTCGGTCTCGAAGCCAGCTTTGTCCAAGAAGGGCACCATGAAGGAACCGAGACAGCAGTCTACGTGGAGGCACAGCTTCTTCTTGACGGCCAACTTCGACAGAGCGCTGATGTCATCGATGATACCGTGGGGGAAGTTCGGGGCGGAGCCGACCAGCAAGACGGTGTTGCTGTTGATCAAGCGGGAGACGGCGCGGGTGTCGACCTGGTAGTTGGGTGCAGGGCATGCGACGTAGTGGATCTTGATCTTAAAGTATTCGCCGGCCTTGCGGAATGCGGTGTGTGCTGTCTCGGGCAGAATCCTGTTGCGCGTCAGCGTGAGCACCATGATGACGAGATGGAATACAAACATTTCCGGCTCCGTGATGCCCTTCTCAAAGTACCCTCTTTGCCGCGCGGCGAGGCAGGCACTGAGGATACTATCGGTACCACCGCTCGTGGTGGCACCGGCACCGCCAACGGGAGCGTTGAACATGGCGAGCACCATGGATACGATCTCGGCCTCCATTTTCCTCACACCGGGGAAGACGTCGGGATGGATGGGGTTCGCGACGGTGAACTTGCCAAAAGCCTCGGTTTGCAGCTTAATCAGCTCTTCCTCGCCGTGGTAAACGGCGCCAGAGACGAAACCGTCCTCCCATCTCGTGTGGTCCATATTGGCCAGGGTCTCGAGCTCATTCCGGACTTCATCTTCGGACATGCCTTCCTTCGGGAGGGTGAGGTATCGGGTAAGGTTTGTGGGGATCATCTTGGACTGCAGCTTCGCCATGGACTCGTTGATCTGCTTCTGGACCTGGCCGCGCACGCCGGGGGCGCGCAGGAAGTAGCCGTACAGAACCCTGCGGATATCGATGTAGAGCTCGACGATGCTACCAATCAGGCCGCGGCCCTTGAGCTTGAGAAAGAACTTGCGAGTCCATCGCCAGACGAAAAAGAAGAAAATGATGTTGCGCAGCCTGGGGATGGCGAGAGGCCGTGGTTAGCCGGGGCCGAGGGCCGAGGACGGAAAGCATGAAGACGAAGACATTGGCGACTTACAAGTCGAGGTTCAGGACCAGGAGCGGTGTTGCCTGCCGACTGCGCTTGACTTGGTTCAAGCTCTCGCGCAAGCTGGCGGGAATGCGGGAGCTGCCAGGCATCTTGTCTGCAGTGATGTGAAGCTCGGCGCGGTGGGGTGAATTGCTATGTTTCAGGACCCAAATGATGAAGAGACGAGGGTGAGGCCAATGGCAGTGGGTTCAAGTCCACTATATAAACAGGGGAGAGGAGAAGAAGGCGAACGTGGGGGTGTGGAAGGTTACGAGTGCAGAGCTGGAAGACGTTAACAACACCAGCAAGAACATCACCGGCGCGGGCCCACGCAATTGGAGACGAGCTAGAGCCAACTGTCTGTGGTGAGCAGAGCCAAACGGAAGGAATCCTAGACGCAGAAAATCGTGGGGCATGGCGTCTTCTTGATTATTTCTTAGCGCCGTTTACCCCTGTCGCTGCAGCCAAGGTAGCGGGTCATCGCCGCCATCCCGGCTGTCTGTCACATGCGCCGCAATAAGCAAGAGGGGCCCTGTCTTCCACGGCGTCCGCGTCCCCGACTTGGATCGCAGCAGCAGTCACCCCCTTCAGGTAATTCGGTTTGCAGGGGGTGACTTGAGACCGCACACATCTTGCGGTGCGGAGAGAAGGAGAAGGGTGTCTGTGTTGACCCGGAGGCGTTCTCTGCCCATAATGCGATATGTCGTAGAATGGTGGAGTGCTGGCGATGAATACCAGCGGCTCCCGCCCAAGAGGGTATCTTGCGCCGCGTAGCCTGCCCGCCGCCGATACGAATACCTCTCCTGGTACTCTGTACAGTGTACAAGGCATCGAGGAGCCATCGAACTCGGCCGATTGGGCAGTCTGTCCCATGTGCGCATGACTGTCTGTCTAGATCGCTCACACTCGACATTGCAACCCTGCCCCCCCCCCTTTCGGGACTGTCCAACCGTCCAAAACTCTCTTTCATTGAAAACCTCAATACCTTGAACGTGGTATCAACCATGCAATCAATGCCTTTAGTTATCGATATAAGTCGACTAGAGCCGCCGGTCCTCCCGTAGAGTGCCCGTAGCAGGCAAGGAGCCCCACTGGAGCGGCGGGGCACCGCGCCCGCGGACGCCCGTCAACCGGCTGGACGGGTCCGATTCCACGTTCTAAGTCAATCCAGGGTTTCGGTTGGCCACAGCCAGCGACGTGTGAGCCGAGGCTCGACTCTACGTAGGACTGTCGACCGTCCCCAACGTCCATGTCGACATTCAATCGAAATAGCCCTTCTGCTCATACGGCCATGCTTTGCCTTGACCACGTCATATTCGTAGCGTCAACAGCGTCTGAGAGATCCAAGCGGACCCTGTGCGCCGTCCGGGACCAAGATCTTAGCGGATGATACCCCTTGCAAATGTGTGTCCCTGTTGTTCACCAACAGACCTCGACTCTCTTCTCGTCTCCTCCTCATTGGAGCGCAGTCTGGCTCCCCGGTTAGCTAGCCTTGCCACGACACTCAAGAGCTATTGATGGGCGCATGGATTGCATCGATTATGCAGACGGCTGTGGAGACCAACGTGCC